TGGGCCACCCCAAATTCACCATCAGATCACATAGCAGCCTTCCCCCCTAAAATCACACACCCACTGTTGCCTGGGGCTGCAATGGTGCAAAAACGTGGTTAAAAAGCATGGATCCACATGGATCCTCAGGATCTTTGCATTGGGCCACCCCAAATTCACCATCAGATCACATAGCAGCCTGCCCCCCAAAAATCACACACCCACTGTTGCCTGGGGCTGCAATGGTGCAAAAATGTGGTTAAAAAGCATGGATCCACATGGATCCTCAGGATCTTTGCATTGAGCTACCCCAAATTCACCATCAGATCACATGTCTGTGGCCACAGCATGAAGCACAAAAATGATACATCCACTGTTTCATTCAGAATTTTTTTCCTTGTTTTCCTCCTCTAAAAACGATGTGCGTGTTATGGTCAGGTGCGTGTTATAGAGCGAAAAATACGGTACTTTTCCTTGTTTGTTTGTTTTTGTAACACAAGAAAATGGGACGCAGGTGGCGCTGTGGGTTAAACCACAGAGCCTAGGGCTTGCCAATTAGAAGGCGGTTCGAATCCCCGCAATGGAGTGAGCTCCCGTTGCTCGGTCCCTGCTCCTGCCAACCTAGCAGTTTGAAAGCACGTCAAAGTGCAAGTAGATAAATAGGTACCGCTCCGGTGGGAAGGTAAATGGTGTTTCCGTGCGCTGCTCTGGTTTGCCAGAAGCGGCTTAGTCATGCTGGCCACATGACCCGGAAGCTGTACGCCGGCTCCCTCGGCCAGTAAAGCGAGATGAGTGCCGCAACCCCAGAGTCGGTCACGACTGGACCTAATGGTCAGGGGTCCCTTTACCTTTACATTTAAAGTACCTCCGTCTCCCTCCCTTTCTCTTCCCCTAACTGCACAATGTCTACAACAATAATGTCTCATAATGAATGTAAACAAGCTGTGAAAAAGACACTACGAATTGATGGTGGAGACGCTACATGTACTTTTCCTTGTTTGTTTGTTTTGTAACACAAGAAAAGCTTGAGTAAAAACCTTAAAAGCAACAACAAAGCAGAATGTGACCACAAGTATTGGGGGCAGGCCCGTTAGCTTCTCTGTTGCAACGCCTGCTGAGTCTGGCAGGCTAAAGTTCTTAGAACTAAAATAGTTAGCCGCCGCATGCTCCCCTTTCTTCGGGGTGGGGGGGTGGCGGTCCAAAATTGCTTTCTAAAGCAATGTGCGTTCATCGTTTTACCTACATCCTGGATACGACATCCCGTAATAGACGTATTTTCCCTCTGCAGGAATAAAGCCGGTTGGTTGGACAGCGAGCTGAACATGTTCACACACCAGTACTTGCAGCAGAGCAGATAAGCGAGGAAAGGCGGAGGAGGAGGGCAGATATTTCTGCTCGCCACTTGAGTACCCGCTTGCATAACCTGTTCCAGGCAGTGGGGATCCCCCCACAGAGCCACAGAGGAGACAATCGCTGCCCCGTCTCTCCTTTTCCACCACGAGATCGAGAGAATCACGCGGCCTCTGCATGGTTTATCCATTTCTACCCCCGCCCTGTTTGGCATACACTTTATTTTAGAGTCCTCCTTCCCCACTCCTTCTTCCAATAGTGTTAATAAGCTAATAATTAGCAGGAGAGAAAATGCCTGTGTTTATACACTTACAAGGAGGAATGATAAATCTGGGCTGCATTCCCCTCTTCTTTGTCTTTTAACAACCATGAAATGTCAAGATCAACTTGGGCAGATCCTGTTTGGATCCCCTTTCCCCAGCAAGTTTAGATGAAAATCAGCCCCAAAATTCCTCACTTCCCACTCCTCTCTCCAATTCCAGGTCTCGATGAATTAATGCCCATCTATTCCTTAAAATAATAATAATATTGCATTCTTCGAGGTGCAGTCCAGCCAGAGCATTGTATCCCGCAAAGGCCACATTTAAAGCACTGCAATGCCACATTTACAGTCCTAGCTTCCTCCAGAGAATCCTGGGACCTGTAGAGGGTGCTGAGAGTTGTGAAGAGACCCCCATTCCCCTCTCAGAGCTACAGTTCCCTGAGGAAAGAGGGGTTGACTGTTAAACCACTCTGGCAGCAGAATAGAGGTCTCCTAACAACTCTCAACACCCTGAATGAACTACAGTTCCCAGGATTCTCTGGGGGAAAGCCATGATTGCTTAAAGAGGCACGACAGTGGCATGAATGTGTACTGCTCTGAAGTGGCCCATTTAAATGGATGTGCCTAAGCTAGTCGAGAGGGTTAACTTCAATGGGTTTACTCTGTGCAGGGCTAGCAATCTGTCTCGCTGGGGTGGCTTTATGCCAAGCTGGGCTCTCGGAGGGAGCTGGGTCAAACCCACGGTGTCCGAGAGGCAACTGTTTGCCCAAGCCATGCCCTCCCCTGCACGAGTTTATTTGATTCTCTTGAGACAGTGGCAAAGGGACCTCTGGCCCCTACTGAATTTGGCCCACCAGGTCGTTTTGGAGAAACCACGTCTCTTACCCTCTGCCACGCATGGAGACCTGCCGGCACCGATTTCCTGAGCTCTTGAGTCACCTGGTGCCAGGTGATTTGCAGGTGAGGGCAGCCTGCCCGCCTCTCGGAGCTGCCCTCGAAACCTTGCCCAGCCCCTTTAGGAGAAGGGTGGGGTCTGTCCGTTGGACTTGCCCAGGGCAGGAAGGCACCCTGAGCTATTTTACCTAACTTCCAAACTTGGCAGAAATGCCCCGGCCTAGGATTGAAGCGACACGGGGCAATGTTATTGGGCAAAGAGGTAGCTTAGATAGATCCTGACTCTTGCTTTGATGTTCCCAAGTATGTAAGGTGTGACCTGTTCAACATTTGGGTACCCACCCCTGTTCTAAAGATAAACGTGGTACCTTCCACATGTGGACTACACTCCCCATCATCCATACCCATTGGTCATTCTGGCTAGGGCTGATGGGAGTTGGAGTCCTCAAGGGCACCAGGCTGTGCTAGAAGTTACCAAGGGCACCACGTTGCCTGCCCAGTCAGTTGGGTATGGTACAAATATATAATAATAATAACTTTATTATTATTATTATTATTATTACTCCTGCTTTATAACAAGGAGGTTCACACATATTGAACAGGACAGATGAACATCATTATCCCCTGTGCCTCTTAATTCTTTTGAATTATGACTCTTCCCCCCCCCCACCTTCCATTTGAGGGAATTTGTTTGTCTGCCTCTCATGCCACTAGTCCCCATGGAGCACCACAAGCACTGACAAGATTCCTTAGAGGGTGCACCTCCCAGGCCGAAGAGGTTATGCACGTAGCCGCGCTATGAATTGCAGGATGAGAAATCCGCCCCCCCCCTACCTGGATGAAATAAATCCCTTGTCTACTACAGGCCTCTTTGGGAGTCTTCTGGAACAGTGTGGATAGGTGACCTGACCGCAGTGGAGATTTTTATCCCTTTATACACTTCATGTAATTAGTTCCATTGACATCCCACCCCTCCCCCTTTTTTTAAAAAAAAACACCCCAGTTTGGATTGATGGAGGGAATCTGAATGGGCTAAGCTAGTCGTGCTCATGAACTTCAATGGGTCTACTCTTAAGTAGGGTTAGCATTGGATACAACCCTAGATCCTCAGCTTAGCCCATTCGCTAAGATAATTGATGCTCCTTTAAGACAAGATCCGCTGTCAACCACCTTGATAATGACACATGAGGGGTGCCATTTCTGAACTTTGGTAGCCAATCTGCCACAACCAATATTACAGCAACATGTTTAGCCAAATGCACTTTATTTTTTATTGTTCTATTGCTGCTAATTTTGATTACTCCATATAAATATATATATCCTTTTCTGTCTTTGGATGAATTTGGGGTTCTCCAAAAATCCTCCCTGCGGTGTGTCTCTTCTATCTGCTGTTATTTACAATGGTAATATTTTTTGGGGGGCATGAATTACCTTTCTTGCTGTATCAGTGCTGTTAATACCCGAAACCAAACTATTAAAAGAAGGGAAAAAATCAGTCTGAAGCTTCAGCCTTTTTTGTTTTAGCATTGTAGAGTTGGAGGTCATGCCAAAGGTCATCTAGTTCAATCCAATGCAGTGACTGGGGGCTCTTTTCCTACTTGGGTTTATTGTCTTGCAGACGCTTAAAAATCACTCCCCTCCCATTTAAAGTTTAGATGCTTTAGAGGATGTTGAAAAATTGGAGGGGAACTAGTGGGTGATTTGGGCAGATGTTCCCTCCAGGTGTTGCTAGACTACAAATTCCCATCATCCCTGATCATTGACACTCTTGGTTGTGGCTGATGGGAGTTACAGCCTTGATAACTTTTAAGCAAAGTTTCTAATTCTTCAGAAAGTCTTTGAGACCCTGAACCTTTGTCATCTTGATAGATTTTTTCCTGCCAGGCACTCCCCACCCTCTCTGCAGGCAGAGACTTTCAAATTTGCCTCTGCGAGCTTGAGGACTAATAACTTCTTGTTTTTAAACAGCGACCGCATGCATGTAATGACAACAAGGCCGTATAATAATAATAATAATAATAATATTTGTACCCCGCCCATCTGTCTGGGTTTTCCCAGCCACTCTGGGCGGCTTCCAACAAAGATTAAAAATACATTAGTCAGCCAACAGTGCTTTGTCCTGGGGCAGAGGCACCATGAAACAGCTCCCATATGCCATCATGGGACACGAGTGGCGCTGTGGTCTAAACCACTGATCCTCTTGGGCTTGCCAATCAGAAGGTCGGCGGTTCGAATCTCCGCAACGGAGTGAGCTCCCGTTGCTCTGTCCCAGCTCCTGCCAACCTAGTAGTTTGAAAGCACGCCAGTGCAAGTAGATAAATGGGTACTGCTCCGGCGGGAAGGTAAATGGCATTTCCGTGCGCTCTGGCTTCCGTCACAGTGTTCTGTTGCACCAGAAGTGGTTTAGTCAAGCTGGCCACAAGACCTGGAAAGCTGTCTGTGGACAAACGCTGGCTTCCTCGGCCTGAAAGCGAGATGAGCGCCACAACTCCATAGTTGTCTTTGACCAGACTTTAACGTCCAGGGGTCCTTTACCATAGCAATGGAGGAAGAGCATACTAGGAAAAAGAGAAAGGGAGAAAACCATATGAGCCAAGATTAAGTGACTTCCCTTGTTCCTGGCATGCACATTATAAAACATCTGGATCAGAAAACATGAAAGTAAAGAAGCACGTAGACAGGAATGGTGTGTTTCCAAATATCCAAAGTTTGAGAAGATGCTTGTTGAAGATTTTACTCGCTGCATAAGAAATGAAATCGTGCCACACCATAGAAAAAGAGTACCTTGAGGACTAGTAACTTGCCTTTTTTAAAAAAAATAAAGGAGGGCACTAGCTTGGTGGTGCTGTAAGACTCCCCAGCCCCCCTGCTCAGTGCAAGGAACCCACCAGCCCTCTAGGAACATCCCACGCTCTGGGAATTTTACTCTTTTAAGTTTGTAAAGCAGCAGCTGGCATTAAAAAATAAAAATATTCCATCAACCCTAACCCATTGCTATGTATGCAGTAATATAGGCGGTCCATATGTCCAAATATCCAAATGGGGTTGATAATTATAAGATATCCATTTAGCTGTGGAAGGAGATATTGGGGAGAAATTGGATGTGTGGCAACCCTAACAGAAACACACACACTGCTGCTCTTGACATTTATATATTAAGACAATTTTGGATTGAAGAGTTGATCTAACAAACATCTCGATAAGAGGGTCTCAATAAAAAGCCTATAAAGGGCAGATCTCAAATGGCCATTTCTTTCATACATGGCATGATTTAATTTCTTACACAAATATTGAGGCCCAACGTCATATACCGGCATTGGAGGCGGGAAGAAATGAATGGGAGCCGCCCCTTTAAGAGTGAAAGTAACAGGCGGTTGGTGCAATGCATGCTGGGTTGGGAAGGCGGAGCAGGCCAATCAGGAGGCGTTCGGAAGCTTGGCTTTTGCTACATAGTAGGAAACCGACGGGAGAGTTGAATGGGTGAGTGAAGCGGCGCGTCCCTTTGATCTGCGGGTGGGCGGTTGGAAATAGAGGTGGGGGGGAGTCGATGGCGCTTTAAGACGCGGGTGGGGAGTTTATGGGGCGAGGTGGGGGGTTACCCTGTTTATTTTATTTTTTAAAAAATAATTTTTTAATTAAATTTTCTGTTTTACACTTTAAAATACACGTTTAAACATCCTTAAAATATCAATGACTTCCTTTTTTCTCTTTCCATGGTTCATTTTGCATATCATAAATAACTGCATATTTTACAAAAACATTCAGTATTCCATTATTGCATCCATCAAAGCTTAATTACATTGTTAAATTTATCTTAAATTTATCTTAATTTATCTTAACGCTGCCAGCGTTTTCAAGTGCACACAATTTCCCCCCATATATTCAGTAAACGTTTTCCAATCTTCTCTAAACGTAGGTTGTTCTTGTTCTCTTATTCTATATGTTAAGTCTGTGCAGCGCAATATGCGGGGGTTACCCAGTTTAGTGGGGTTGGGAGGAAATAAGGGGAAATATACAGGGCTAGATATGTTGTTTTTTCCCTGTGGGGGCTTGGAAGAAGTAAATAAAACTATATTGAGAAGTAATGGTTAGTAATTGAAATTAATAAGATTTTGGAACGCAGAAATAAAGTAAATCATCAAACCGTCAATTCCAGCATGCGGGGAGCCACCTAAATTATATAATTTTGCATCTGAATGATTGGTATTAGTAATTGTATTATAATTTGGCATTGTTATAACGAGGCTATTATTGGATTGTTGTAATTGAAAACTAATAAAAATTATAAAAAAGTAATTAGGCTTATAAAAGCCACAAAAAATACAAAAAAATGAGAATTTTTGTAATGCATGCAATTTTTTTGTGTTCACTTTTCTACATGGGCACTATTTCTTGTTTCTTACTCTTTTTGTGCCTTGTCTTACTCTGCGCACTGCGGAGTAACTGAAGAGAATAAATAAATGCAGTGAAATAAATAGTCCAGTTGAAGTTTATTTTTTAGAATTATTGTGTAGGATCTTTTATTCCCTTAATAGTTTGAAAACCATTTGATTCCCCAACGCCTTACAATAAAGCAATGTGTACATTTTATGAAACAAACAAACAAATAAATAAATAACAAGTGGTGCTTTAAATCCATGGTTGTGAATGTGACCTGGGTTCGGATGCACTTCGTAACTAACAATCTCCTTTCTTTGCTCTCAATCCTCCATATTTTTATAGAATCAGAGGACCGTAGCGTTGGCAGAAACCCAGAGTGCCATCTAGTCCAGGGGTCTGCAGACTTTTTCAGCAGAGGGCCGGTTCACTGTACCTCAGACCTTGTTGGGGGCCGGACTATATTTTGGGGGGGGGGAATGAACGAATTCCTATGCCCCACAAATAACCCAGAGATGCATTTTAAATAAAAGGACACATTCTACTCATGTAAAAACATGCTGATTCCCGGACTGTCCACGGGCTGGATTTAGAAGGTGATTGGGCTGGATCCGGCCCCTGGGCCTTAGTTTGCCTACCCATGATCTAGTCCCAACCCTCTGCAACGTTGTTCTCTTTTTAAAGCAAGGAGGTGAGAAGATGGACCTGGAGAGGCTGCGAAACTTGAACCAGGACCTCCTGCGGAGGCTGAGGACGAACCAAGAGGAGTTCAGGGAGCGGGTTCGAGTCAAGCTGTTGCCACCATCACAAAGAGCAACTCCTCAAGGCGCGTGGGTCTCAGACAGCAAGGGCGAGGTGCGTAGGGAGACTGCTGGATCGTGTTTCGTGTTTGCATGTAGGTGTTCCTCAATCCATGGGGCCCTCCAGACATGGCTGGATCACAGCTCCCCAAGGGTAGGACTGAGAGCTGGCTGCTGGGATCTGGAGAGTCTGGAGCCCCATAACATGAGAACCCGTGGACACCCCAGGAATGTCCTCGGATGAAGAGTATTATAGAAATTCAATGAATGAATGAATAAATAGATCAGAGCGTTGGAAGATTCAGGACAGATAATCCCATAAAAAGGTAAAGGTACCCCTGCCCGTACGGGCCAGTCTTGACAGACTCTGGGGTTGTGCGCCCATCTCACTTAAGAAGCCGGGAGCCAGCGCTGTCCGGAGACACTTCCGGGTCACATGGCCAGTGTGACATCGCTGCTCTGGCGAGCCTGCACCAGCGCAGCACACAGAACGCCGTTTACCTTCCCGCTATAAAGCGGTACCTATTTATCTACTTGCACTTTAAGGGTGCTTTTGAACTGCTAGGTGGGCAGGAGCTGGGGCCGAAAGACGGGAGCTCACCCCGCTGCGGGGATTCGAACCGCCGACCATACGATCGGCAAGTCCTAGGCACTGTGGTTTTAACCACAGCGCCACCCGCGTCCCATAGATAATCCCATAGGAGGCAGTGATTGCCACCAATGTGGGTGTCTTTAAAAGAGGATTAGACAAATTTGTGGAAGGGAAAGTTATTGATCGCTACCACCAGCCACAATACTTGGTGCAGGCCTTTAAAGCCCTAAATGGCCTCGGCCCAGTATACTTGAAGGAGCATCTCCACCTCCATAGTCCAGCCTGGGGCCTTCTGGTGGTTCCCTCCCTGTGAAAAGTGAGATTACAGGGAACCAGGCAGAGGGCCGTCTTGGTGGTGGTGCCCGCCCTGTGGAACACCCTCTCTTCAGATGTCAAAGAAATAAACAACTACCTGACTTTTAGAAAACATCTGAAGGCAGCCCTGTTTCAGGAAGTTTTTAATTTTTTATTCTGTTTTTAATATTCTGTTGGGAGCCACCTAGAGTGGCTGGGGAGGCCCGGCCAAATGGGTGGGGTATAATTATTATTATTATTATTATTATTATTCCTTATGCTCTTATGGAGGAAACAGTTTTCTGCCCCATCCCTAGAGACCACTAATAGTGATTCCCCCAGTCGATCTTACTCATTCAACTGGGGCCATGGCATAAAGCAGTCCTTAAGGTATCCTGCGCCAAAGTTGTTCAGGGCCAGAAATGTGACAGGAGTGTCCTAGTGAAGGAATGGGTTTCTGTGTAGTAAGTTTAAAAACTGACTCAACCCCGCCCCCCTTTTGTTCTTTCAAAAGAGAGCACTTTTAAATGCGTAAAACTTGAACTGTTGAGCAAAACCATAATAAGGACACAACTGCATAAACAGTTCTGTCCTTTATCAGGACAGGCAAGGGATGGCCTTGGCTCCCCAGGGAACAACGAAAACACGTCAGGACTTTATCTTATGTGTTGACCACAAAATACGTACAAGACCAATGTCCGGGGAAATCGCCAAGAGCGTGTTCCCGCAGATGATGACATATTCTCCCAGATAAGAGTAGGAAGAGGAAGATCCTTTTATGGTCAGGAGTGCAGGAAGGAAGATCCTTTTATGGTTGAGAGTACCAGAGCAGGAACATATGTGATGTCAACTTGCGTAGGTAGGCCGACGTGGTTGGGCTCCTAGGGGAGGAGTGAGAGGGTGCCTGGAGGATATATAAACTGCATGAAACCTGTCATTTCTTTGGACTTGCTGGGGACTTGATCACACAAGTGCCTTCTGCTATCCGGAGAGCAGAATAAACTCTTTCTTGGAATCAACCTCAGGTGTCGTTTGACTTCCTTCCTCCTGTCCCAGAGCAACGCTGACCCAATCGGTGAATTCCAATAAGGCTACACTAGGGAAAGAGATGCAGAAGTGAAAATTGGCTGCCGTTCAGGGTGCAAAACGGCTGCTAAAATTCAGCCTATACCAGTTTGCTCCTGTGAGCTGGAAACTGCGAGAGGGGAGAACAGATTTGCGCTCGGATCCTACTTGCGGGATATCTGTGAGAGCAGGTTGCTGCAGCAGATGGGCCCCTGGCCTGATCCAGAAGTGCTCTTTCTAGGCTCTTTAGTTCTTATAAAATGTTGTGTGTGTGTGCATGGCATTGGTATCAACTATGCCTGTGTTCTGTCCTCTCCCCCTTGCTTTTCAACATCTACATGCAGCCGCTAAGAGAGATCATCAGGGGGTTTGGGCTGGGTGTCCATCAATATGCGGATGATACCCAGCTCTACCTCTTTTTCAAATCAGAACCAGTGAAGGCAGTGAAGGTCCTGTGTGAGTGTCTGGAGATGGTTGGAGAATGGATGGTGGCTAACAGATTGAGGTTGAATCCTGACAAGACAGAAGTACTGTTTTTGGGGGACGGGGTGGGTGGGTGTGGAGGACTCCCTAGTCCTGAATGGGGTAACTGTGCCCCTGAAGGACCAGGGGCACAGCCTGGGAGTCATTTTGGACTCACAGCTGCCCATGGAGGTGCAGGTCAATTCTGTATCCAGGGCAGCTGTCTGGCCAGAGTGGTGCATGCTCTGGTTATTTCTCGCTTCGACTACTGCAATGCGCTCTATGTGGGGCTACCTTTGGAGGGGACCCAGAAACTACAACTAATACAGATTGCGGCAGCTAGACTGGTGACTGGGAACGGCCGCCGAGACCATATAACTGGCTCCCAGTACGTTTCCAAGCACAATTTAATGTTGGTGCTGACCTTTAAAGCCCTAAACGGCCTCGGCCCAGTATCCCTGAAGGAGCGTCTCCACCTCCATCGTTCTGCCTGGACACTGAGGTCCAGCGCTGAGGACCTTCTGGCAGTTCCCTCACTGTGAGAAGCCAAGTTACAGGGAACCAGGCAGAGGGCCTTCTCGGTAGTGGCGCCTGCCCTGTGGAACGCCCTCCCACCAGATGTCAAAGAGAAAAACAACTACCAAACTTTTAGAAGACATCTGAAGGCAGCCCTGTTTAGGGAAGCTTTCAATGTTTAATAGCTTATTGTATTTTAGTGTTTTGTTGGAAGCCGCCCAGAGTGGCTGGGGAAACTCAGCCAGATGGGCGGGGTATAAATAGTATATTATTATTATTATTATTATTATTATTATTATTATTTTTTTTTTTTTTCCCAGAGAGAGAACAGGGAACGTTTTCCCAAAGACGCAGCTGATTCTGCGGTGATTGTGTCCGTGGAAGTGAGTCCCCGGCTGGCACGGCGCAACTTCGCCTCCCCCTCGAAACCGGCCGTGCCGCAGGGCGAGCGAGAGGACCGCCCCCGAGGGGGCTTGTGTCCCATCACCCGCCAGACTGAGGTGATCCACATTCCATCGGCCGCAGCATCCGCCGGATCGACTCACAAAACCGCGAGTGGCGGACGCCCAAAAGGACCGAGGAAGCCCAGGGTAACCGCGGGGCACGCGGAGGCAAAAAGGCGTCCTCCATGTTTGCACGGCTTGCCAGAGATGGACAGGCCGCAGGCCAGAGAGGAGGCGAGCCCAGGGCGAGCCAAAGAGGGGAGAGGCAGGGCAACAGTTTCCGTGCGGATGTCGCCAGCCCCGAAACCAATCCTGCTCACGCCTCAAGCCAAGGAATCTAAAGAGAAATCGAAGGTGGGTGTGTCGCAAGTCTTTACTTAAAGGGTTGGCAGCCGGTGGTTAAAGCATCGCTGCAGTGCTGGTGTTTGAACCCTGGAAGATTAGCAAGGATGGTTGTTGCTGGAAGGAAGGTACTTTTGTTCCCTTTCCCTAATAATTTTTATTATTTTTTTATTAGTTTTATTATAAGTTTTATTAGTTTTATTAGTTTTCAATTACAAAATATCCAAAACAGACCTCATTAAAGGGTAAAGGGACCCCAGACTATCCTGTTAGATATCCCGTAGACTGTCCCCGGGACAGGTGAGGCTGCTGATCCCTTGTTTTCAAATCTGAAAGTTGAAAGTTCAAATCTGAAAGCTATGGACTAGGGCCCTGCAGGATCTGATTTCTTTCTGCAGGGTCTGTAAGACAGAGTTGTTCTGCCTGGCCTTTGGCTTGGAATCAACTTGATCCCCTCCCCCTCTCCCTCTTTCTTTTTTCCTTTCTCCTCCTGTGATGGAACTCCTATTTGGGGACTTCCCTGGCTTTTTTCTGGCCCATGTAGGACCAGTCTGGATAGTTAGCCTTGGTGAAGATTTGATGTTTTCATCCCCCCAAAAGTTTTTGATTTGAGTTTCCATTGAAATGAGGCTATATTTTAATGTTTTAATGTTGTATTTTAATCTTGTTTTTAAGTTTATTTCAATCAATTTGTTTTTATATCGGGTGTTAGCCACCCTGAGCCTGTCTTGGCTGGGGAAGGCGGGGTATAAATTATTATTATTATTACTATTATTATTATTATCCAAACGTGGGCAAATGAAAGGTTTGTGCATGTGGCAGTTGTGATGGCAAAATGCATTGTCAGCTCAGTAAAAGAACCGTTTCCCTGCACTTTTAACCCTGTTGCAGAAGGAATCTGGGCACGTGACGTTCATGTCTGACCCTGAGGAATACGCCATCCCAGCAGATGACTGGTCGGTCCGCCCTTTCCTGGGGTACGATTGGATCGCAGGTACGGCAGCTCAATCTATTTTGGAGCCAAGTAAAATAAATAAAATGGAAGATTGCGCAGCTAGCCTGATTCATCCTAACTGGGTTTTTGAAAAAAGAAAACGAGTAGCCCTGGGGTGGTTTCCAGAAATTGAGACGGCGGCTTGTGAGAGCTAAATGGAGCCCGCCTGGTCAGAGGCAGTCTACCTGCAATTTTAAGGATATTATTTTGTTTATACCCACGTACAGTGATACCTCGGGTTACATACATTTCAGGTTACAGACTCCGCTAACCCAGAAATAGTACCTCGGGTTAAGAAATTTGCTTCAGGATGAGAACAGAAATTGTGTGGTTGCAGCGGTGCAGCAACGGGAGGCCCCATTAGCTAAAGTGGTGCTTCAGGTTAAGAACAGTTTCAGGTTAAGAACGGACCTCCGGAACGAATTAAGTACATAACCCGAGGTAAAGGTAAAGGGACCCCTGACCATCAGGTCCAGTCGTGGCCGACTCTGGGGTTGCGGCGCTCATCTCGCTTTACTGGCCGAGGGAGCCGGCGTACAGCTTCCGGGTCATGTGGCCAGCATGACTAAGCTGCTTCTGGCGAACCAGAGCAGCGCACAGAAATGCCGTTTACCTTACCGTCGGAGCGGTACCTGTTTATCTACTTGTACTTTGACGTGCTTTCGAACTGCTAGGTTGGCAGGAGCAGGGACCAAGCAACGGGAGCTCACCCCGTCGCAGGGATTCGAACCGCCAACCTTCTGATTGGCAAGTCCTAGGCTCTGTGGTTTAACCCACATAGGTACCACTGTATTATTGTATGAAATTGCTGTGGGTGCCTTGAAGATAATTTCTGTGGAAGGCAGGAGAGAGGGAGAGAGAGAGAGATTTATATTTTTATATCTATGAGGGCTGGGAAAGGGTTTTTTTTCCCAGTCCAGGGGCCACATTCCCTTCCAGGCAACTTTCTGGGGTCCGCATGCCTGTGGTGGGCAGAGCCAGAAGGAAAAGTGGCCAGAGCAACACATGTGAATTTTACCTTTGCACGGTAGGCCAGTTTCTAAACACACACACACTCCTCTCTGTCCAGGCAAACGAGAGTTCACGGACATATTCCAGCTACGCAAAAATATATGGGGTGTATGTGGAGCAGGACCAGAGAGGGGTGAGGCCTGCAGAGAGGTCCGAGGACCAAATGAGAGAAACCTGAAAGGGCGACGTTTGTGCCTTGAGTCTGACCTGGTGGGTCTTGGCTTTTCCTCTTCCCTCCTCCAGGGCTGCTCGACATGGACTCCTCCCTCTCTGAGAAACCCAATCAGTACTTCTCCGAGCTGCAGGAATTCCGGAAGGTGAACCGGGAGGCTTGCTTCTATGACCGGGAGTTTCGGTAAAGGGGGGGGGTAGATGATGATGATGATGATATTGTTGTTGTTGTTGTTGTTGTTAAATTAATTATTATTATATACAGTGGTACCTCGGGTTAAGTACTTAATTCGTTCTGGAGGTCCGTTCTTAACCTGAAACTGTTCTTAACCTGAAGCACCACTTTAGCTAAGGGGGCCTCCTGCTGCTGCTGCGCTGCCAGAGCACGATTTCTGTTCTCATCCTGAAGCAAAGTTCTTAACCTGAAGCACTATTTCTGGGTTAGCGGAGTCTGTAACCTGAAGCATATGTAACCTGAAGCATATGTAACCCGAGTTCATTATCTAATCAGTTTATGCATAAGGTCCATATATGTGAAAGTGTCTGTTCTACCTTTCTGAACTGATCCACTGGGTCTTCTACTTTTTTCGTTGAACTTTATTAACTACCGTATTTTTCGCTCTATAACACGCACCAGACCATAACACGCACGTAGTTTTTAGAGGAGGAAAACAAGAAAAAAATATTCTAAACAAAACAGTGGATGTATGATTTTTGTGGTTCATGCTGTGGCCACAGACATGTGATCTGATGGTGAGTTTGGGGTAGCCCAATGCAAAAATCCTGAGGATCCATGTGGATCCATGCTAAAGTCGCCCTAAAGTCGCAGGGGTGCTGGGGGGAGTGAACAGGAAGCAGGAGGAGGAGAACAATCCCTCTCACAGACACAGACACACAGAGTATCAATCCTAAAGTCGCAGGAGAGGCAGGGGCGCTGGGAGAGTGAACGGGAAGCAAGAGGAGAACGATGCCTCACACACAGAGAGAGACACACAGAGTATCAATCCTAAAGTCGCAGGAGAGGCAGGGGCGCTGGGAGAGTGAACGGGAAGCAAGAGGAGAACAATCCCTCTCACACAGACAGACACACAGAGTATCAATCCTAAAGTCGCAGGAGAGGCAGGGGCACTGGGAGAGTGAACGGGAAGCAAGAGGAGAACGATGCCTCACACACAGAGAGACACACAGAGTATCACTCCTAAAGTCGCAGGAGAGCGCTGGGGCGCTGTGAGAGTGAACAGGAAGGAGGAGGAGGAGAACGATAGCTCAAGCACACACACACACACACACACACAGCCCCTACAGTGGCTGATCCAAAATCGGACAGCAAAAAACTGCAGGCAGGGACAGAGAGCACGGGGCTGTTTTAAAGCAACCAACCCCGATCTGCTTCTCTCCCTCCTCCCGGCTAGGCTGGCTGAAAAGCTTTGCTGCTACTTAGCAGCTCACTGGAGAAGAGAGAGGGACATAGAGCACGGGGCTGTTTTAAAGCAACCAACCCCGATCTGCTTCTCTCCCTCCTCCCCGGCTCCGCTCGCTGACAGGAGCCGCTTACACCCGCTTTGCAGTTTGAAAGAGAGCCACGGACTGCTCACAACTGCAGCGGATTCCCCTGCCATCTGTAGGCATTCGCTCCATAACACGCACAGACATTTCCCCTTACTTTCCAGGAGGAAAAAACTGCGTGTTATAGAGCAAAAAATACGGTACTTCTGTTGAAATCTACAATTGAATACAATGAATAGTATATATTATTTTTTCAAATGTATAGCCGGTTACGTCTTGTGTGTTTAGGGAAGCTTTTAATGTTTAATAGGTTATTGTATTTTAGTGTTTTGTTGGAAGCTACCCAGACTGGCTGGGGGGACCCAGCCAGATGGGTGGGGTATAAATAATAATAATAATAATAATAATAATAATAATAATAATAATTAATTGAATATGTTTCACATAACCAGAGGTTTGTTGTTGTTTTGCACATGCAACACAACAGCTCAGCCACTGACTTTCAGGGAACAACCGAAAATGACTCTTTTAACGTTCCTCTCTCCGCAGATCAGACGGACTGGGTTCCTCTGCTCACAATCAAGAATCGGACATGGACCCGGGTTCCCATCAGTGTACGGTCAGATTCCATCTTCCCATCTCAGCAGCCCAGCCAATCCTAGAACCTTCATAGAATTGTAGAGCAGGAAAACGACCCCAAAGGTCATCCATACCAACCCCCCGCTATGCAGGAACCACAGCCCACCTCTGCTTAAGAACCTCCAACAAAGGAGAGTCCACTACCCTCCGAAATATTCCATTTCACTGTCAAACACCTCTTACTGTCAGAAAGTTATTCCCAATGTTTAGCCAGGATCTCTTTTATTGCAGTTTTAATCCATTGGTTCAGATCCAGCCCTCTGAAGTAACAGAAAACAAGCTTGCTTGTGACGGCCCTTTAGATATTTGAAGGCGCCTATTTTATCTCCTCTCAGTTTCCTGTGTTCCACACTAAACATACCCCAGATGCTTCAACCATTCCTCATCCGGCTTGGTTCCTCAGCATCTCCTTGGCCTATGTGGTTTCATCACGCCACATGGCTTCTGGCTTTAAACCTCAGCAATCCTAAGGACTAGGAACTTGGAACGCTTACTGGGGTGGGGGAACTGCAGAATCCCCATTGGCCCTGTTGAGGAACTTGAATAATAACAATAATAGTAGTAGTAATATAATAATTAATTAATTAATTAATTAATTAATTAATTAATTATACCCCGCCCATCTGGCTGAGTTTCCCCAGCCACTTTGGGTGGCTTCCAATCAAGTGTTAAAAACAATACAGCATCAAATATTAAAAACTTCCCCAGATGTCTTTTAAAGGTAAGATAGCTACTGATTTCCTTCACATCTGAAGGGAGGGTGTTCCACAGGGCGGGTGCCACTACCGAGAAGGCCCTCTGTCTGGTTCCCTGTAACCCCACTTCTCGCAATGAGGGAACCGCCAGAAGGCCCTTGGCTCTGGACCTCAGTGTCTGGGCTGAACGATGGGGGTGGAGACGCTCCTTCAGGGATACTGGGCCGAGGCCGTTTAGGGCTTTCAAGATCAGCACCAACACTTTGAATTGTGCTTGGAAACGTACTGGGAGCCAATGCAGATCTCTCAGGACCGGTGTTATGTGGTCCCGGCGGCCGCTCCCAGTTACCAGTCTAGCTGCCGCATTCTGGATTAATTGCAGTTTCTGGGTCACCTTCAAAGGTAGCCCCACGTAGTCCGCATATCCCTTCCTCTACCTGGCTCTCTCTCCACAGGTGTCTTCTGTTACCGGTTGAATAAACGCCTTTTCGCGACGCCTCTGGATCTGGAGTATGCCTGCCCCATCTGCAAAACCCCCAGAGCCCACCGGCCTCCAGAGACTCTGGTGGAGCCTGCGTTTGTCAGGTGAGTCCGTAAGTGATGGTGAAGACTTACCTGGGAAACTTGCTTTTGCTGGCTCAGACCCTTGGTCCAGCTAGCTCAGTAATTGTCTACATTGTCCGACAGCAGCGACTTTCCAGGGTTTCAAACGGAGATCTTTCCCAGCCCGGCCTAGACATGGCAGGGATTGAATCTTGGTGACTTCGCTGATAGCGGCTTTACAAATACAGTGGTACCTCGGCTTACGTTACCTTTGGGTAATGTAATTTCGAGTTACGAACGCAGCAAACCCAGAAGTGTATACTTCCTGGTTTCACCGTGCGCGCATGCGCAGAAGCGCTCTGCACGTGCGCAGAAGCCCTCGCCTTGCGTGTGCGCAGAAGTGGTGCCTCCGGATACGGACTATTGGGGGTCATTATGGACCCTCAGGACGAATTGAGAAATATGACCAGCCTTTTAATACAGTGGTACCTCGGGTTAAGTACTTAATTCATTCCAGAGGTCTGTTCTTAACCTGAAACTGTTCTTAACCTGAAGCACCACTTTAGCTAATGGGGCCCCCTGCTGCTGCCGCCGCGTGATTTCTGTTCTCATCCTGAAGCAAAGTTCTTAACCCGAGGTACTATTTCTGGGTTAGCGGAGTCTGTAACCTGAAGCGTCTGTAACTTGAAGCATCTGTAACCCAAGGTACCACTGTACGGACCCTAAGAACGAATTGAGTTCGTATCCGGAGGGTCCACTGTAATGTCCGAAATAGGACCAGCCTTTTAATATGTACTTTATTCAGATCACTGCATAGTCACTTGAGAACCTGAAATAGGGGTGGGGAGTGGAAGAAACAGCTCTTCCTTGGCCTCTGCCCATTTCCTCCACCTGGTCGCCTGGGGCGATTTCTCCAGTCGCCACAGGCGATCACATGATTGTGGGTTCCCCTCTGCAGTTCTGAACTGCTCAGTGCTCCTGTTCACTCCGTAGAGCGGTGGGTCCCCAGATGTTGTTGGACTACAACTCCCATCATCCCTGAGCTAGCTAGGGGTGATGGGAGTTGTAGTTCAACAACATCTGGGGACCCACAGGTGGAGAAAGGCTGCTCTAGAGTCTCACTTCATTGTAGGGTTTTTTTCCAAAAGGAGTTACGTCACCTTTGCTGAGGGCAAACTAATCTCTTGTTTTATATATATACAATTTTTATTTTCCATTTTAACAATCCAATCAGATCACATTAAATATTCCAAATTATACAACTACATATCATATAGTCCAAATATTTTGCCAAATTATAAATTTTTGTTGGGGCTTCCTATGCTTTAAGTTCAGTGGGGTCCAATCTTCTTATGTTTCTACTGCCTTGAGTTTCCAATAGTTCCTTCTTTTAATCTTCCTGTTGTTATCCTTCCTTCTTTCATGGCCTCTGAGTTGTTTCCACAGGCGAGTTGAAGTGAGCAATAATCTGCTTCTGTGTGAAATTTGTATGACTCTCCTTTACAGCTGGTAAATCTATTATTTGCAGTATATCCTCACACTCTGATGTTTATGCCGAATCCATCCAAAAGTCCTTCTCTGGTGGCAGACGCCATCTTCTCTCAGTTCCGGTGAAATAAAATCTAGGCGTTTGCTCATTAATTTTCTCAGACAGGTTGCATCAAACATTAGTCTTTCCAGGGGAGGTTTGCGAAATCGGACTTGAAGTACATATATAATAACAAATTAAGAGCTCGCCTCCCCCATGACTATTTATCTCTGCAACTCGGTCTATCCTATAATGGCGTATCCCAAATAAATAGTGCGTCACATCACCCTTCTGGAGAGTCTTTTGTCTTCTGAAGGTGAACTAATCTCAGAGGCCTTTCCGCTCAGGGCTGGTGTGCGCTCTCACAGATCTTCCTGGCTCTTCTAGTCCTGTTTGGGATGCTTTCTTCTATGTTCCACCTCCACTGCCAGAGGCAGCCATGCTTCTGAATTCCAGCTGCTGGACACTGCAGGAAGGGAGAAGGTTCTTGTGCCCTGGTCCTCCTTGCAGGTTTTCCATTGAGGCATCCGGTCCCATTGGGCCCCCTTGGGCCTAATCCAGCAGCACTCTTCCTATATCTTTATTTTTCCCGCAGGGTCAGCATCCCAAGATCCACTTTGCTCCCTGCCTACAAGCACAAGATCCACCGCAGGAAAAGCTATGAGCCTGAAGACAACCTGGCGTTGCCCTCGGTGAGTTTCTGGTTTGGGGAAGCCCGGTTCTTGCCGTGTGGCCGGGCACCGGGGGGGGGGGCAACTTGCCCATCGCTGGCGTCTCCTCCCTTCTCCCTTTTCCTGGCAGAGCGAAGAACGTAGTTAAGAGTAGTGCATGCTCTAGTTATCTCCCGCTTGGACTACTGCAATGCGCTTTACAAGATTGAATGTATTGCCCTCGGCTGTGCTTGAGGGACGATTCCAACAGATTCCACACGAAAAACACTTATGTCCCTGTGGAGATGGCAGTACTGAATTGGTGGTGCATGCCCTTCTGGCTTGCACTCTTTATAAAGACTTGAGGAATGAGATTATCACCCCTCTATTATTGTCCATTCCGGGTCATCCAGCCACTGCCACAGTGTCCTTTCTCTTGGCAGATCAGGATGAGCAGGTGACAACAAAGGTTTTTAGCTGAGGCAATTGGAATAAGATCCACTATTTGACTATTGATTCAAAACCTCAAAATGTATTTTATATACAGTGGTAAAGGTAAAGGGACCCCTGACCATTAGGTTCAGTCTGGCCAACTTTGACGTGCTTTTGAACCGCTAGGTTGGCAGGAGTAGGGACCAAGCAACGGGAGCTCACCCCGTCACAGGGATTTGAACCGCCGACCTTCTGATCGGCAAGCCTTAGGCTCTGTGGTTTAACCCACAGCGCCACCCCGTCCCTTTATATACAGTGGTACCTCAGGTTAAGTACTTAATTCGTTCCAGAGGTCTGTTCTTAACCTGAAACTGTTCTTAACCTGAAGCACCACTTTAGCTAATGGGGCCTCCTGCTGCCGCTGTGCTGCCACTGCACGATTTCTGTTCTCATCCTGAAGCAAAATTCTTAACCCAAGGTAATACTTCTTGGTTAGCGGAGTCTGTAACCTGAAGCGTATGTAACCTGAAGCGTCTGTAACCCGAGGTACCACTGTAATTGACTTTTCTATTTCTATTCTTTGTATATCATATTATTGTTTTATTGCTATGGCCGATGGCTGACGCAAAGAAAGATTCATTCATTCAAACAGCCCAAGCCTTTCGGGCTGCAGTTAATACCTGACATGAGATACTTTCCCCTTCTGTGACCCCCACAGCACTGTTTGGCTGGTTGGGAGAACCCTGTTCAAGCTTTCAGCCCCACTCTGAGCAGCCTCGACCTTCACTCATCCCTCGGGGATGCGCTGCCTGGCCGTACGAATCGGGTAAGGACGCTAAATAGCATTGTGCTAAAATATTTAGGGTTTCATACCTTACAGCAGAATTCATTCTGTGTTACCACAGACACGGACTGCGGGATTCTCGAGTTCAGTTTCTTGGTTCTGAGTTCCAGCTTTTTCCCGTCCTGATTCTTGATATTTTTCTTGAAGGGTTTTTAAATTTAATTTTGTAATGTGCATAAAACAGACAGAACGCTTAGAAAATTAAAAGGTGAAGAACAAAACTGTAAAAAGAGGCACGTAAAATGAGCAGAGTTGCATCTGAGTTAAAATTACAGGGTTCCAGTAAGAGGCTATCACTGCTTTCAGTTTATCTAGTTCCAGAATTGCCAGGCTTGTGTATGGAGGACCCAGTCCTTGTCAAAATCTCAAATTATGCATAATTCTCTCCATTATAGCTATATTCCATAGTGAGGGTACCATGTATCCTGCATAAGTTTTGGGGTTGTTTTCCACTGAGTTGCAATGACTGTGATTCTTGATTATTCATTTTATTTCATAAGATTTACATATCACTTGGTTGTTAAAAGCAAAACGAAACCTCACAGCGGTTTACACGGAGAACAGAACAATAATAATAATATCGGTAAAAGCAGCTCTTTAAAAACAATCCAAGTAATAAAATCGGAAATACATGCCAGCTTGTCTAAATGAAAACCTTGATTCAGAAAAATATTGTAGAGAAAGGAGAATTCCTGGATGGAAAGATTCAAATTTGGGGCAAGTACTCTTTGGTGAGAGATCCATAGCAGAGATTTAAAGTTACAAACTAAAGCTGTTAGAGCTTTAAAATGTCCCCGTAAAAAGTTTCTTTCCAAAGTTTCCCTGTTCCCCGGCATAGGAAAAGACCACATGTTAGTGAGTTTAAAAAATGGTTTACTTCCAAACTATCTGAAGGTCAGATTCATCTGCTTCAGAAAGGCAGTAAAACTTGGCTTAGTAACAAAGTGTAAAGGTTTCTAGATTATTGGCAGAGGAACTCAAGGGTGGCTTGTGATAGCCATGCGGTCTGAGTCGGAGCAAGCAGCTCAAACCCCTTCACAGACTGAGCTTCTCAGGTAGACTGCGGAGGAACAATAAGCTTTATTGCCTAGTTCCTCACAAGGTGAGGGGAAGTGGACATAGCTAAGCCTGTCAGGACAGCTTACTCTATGTCTATATAATGTACCAGAGCAATACGCTACAGAGACAATGGGAGCACAATGGTATTACTTAGGTAAAGGTAAAGGGACCCCTGACCATTAGGTCCAGTCGTGACCGACTCTGGGGTTGCGGCGCTCATCTCGCTTTATTGGCCGAGGGAGCCAGTGTACAGCTTCCGGGTCATGTGGCTAGCATGACTAAGCCGCTTCTGGTGAACTAGAGCAGCGCACAGAAACGCCATTTACCTTCCTGCCTGTTTATCTACTTGCACTTTAACGTGCTTTCGAACTGCTAGGTTGGCAGGAGCAGGGACTGAGCAACGGGAGCTCACCCCGTCACAGGGATTTGAACCGCCGACCTTCTGATCGGCAAGTCCTTGGCTCTGTGGTTTAACCCACAGCGCCACCCATGTCCCTATGGTATTACTTAGGACCTTGTAATTCTGATCTGTTATTCTTTATTTTGGTAGGGAAATTCATCCTGCTCTGTCTGGTCCTTGATGCCCCTTTTATTACTGGTGTTGGTTATATTTATCAATTACATTCCATTAAAAAGAAAATACCATAGTGGCCTGAATATAAGCTGCACCTTTTCCCCCAAAAATCCAACCGTGAAAAGTTAAAGTGCGGCTTAAATTTGCGTCCTTACAAAAATTGGCTTTTGCGATATCTGAAACAGACATACAGTAAAACAGAATGGGTGTGAGTGCCTGCGGAATTTTAAGGGAGTGGCTTATATTCGGGTATTGTCTTTTTTTCCTCCTCCCCCCCATGAATTTTAAAGGTGCGGCTTATATTCAGGTGAGGCTTCTATTTGGGCCAATACGGTAATTAAAATTGGTTTTTTTTAAACTACTCTTAAAACTACAGTATTACCCTGTAGGAGGGGACTCTTGTACTTAAGGTGGATACATGTTCAAAAAGCTGCGTGGTTTTTTGCTTCAAAACAACTGGGGTTTTTTTCTTCATATGCAAACGTAGGAAGATTTGGTCTGCTGGAAAGGGTTGTGACTTGGTGGTAAAGCCCCTGTTTTGCATGCGAAAGGTCGCAGGTTCAATTCCAGGCTTCTCCAGGTGGTGGGGGGGAACAACCCTAGAGAGCCATTTCCAAGTCAGCACAGATGTTATTTGTTTTTTAATCGCTTCCTAAGAAGCGGCATAGTCCTGCTGGCCACATGACCCGGAAGCTGTACGCCGGCTCCCTCTGCCAGTAAAGCGAGATGAGCGCCGCAACCCCAGAGTGGGTCACGACTGGACCTAATGGTCAGGGGGCCCTTTACCTTTTTTTTAGGATGATAATGAGAGCCAGTGTCAGACATACCGTCCAACGCTCCTCCGATGAAAATAGGGATGTCCTATTCCATCATCAGGGACGCGGGTGGCGCTGTGGGTTAAACCACAGAGCCTAGGACTTGCCAATCAGAAGGTTGGCGGTTCGAATCCCAGCAATGGGGTGAGCTCCTGTTGCTCGGTCCCTGCTCCTGCCAACCTAGCAGTTCGAAAGCACGTCAAAGTGCAAGTAGATAAATAGGTACCGCTCCGGCAGGAAGGCAAACGGCGTTTCCGTGCGTTGCTCTGGTTCGCCAGAAGGGGCTTAGTCATGCTGGCCACATGACCCGGAAGCTGTACGCCGGCTCCCTCGGCCAATAAAGCGAGATGAGCGCCGCAACCCCAGAGTCGGCCACGACTGGACCTAATGGTCAGGGGTCCCTTTATAAAGTATCCCAATGCAATTTTACAATATATTGAGAAAACACACACACACATCAATCATAAGCCATTGCAAAGATGAAAACAATTTCAAATCCAGTACAAATGCCAATTGGCATTTTAAAAAATCTCTGCTGAGGAGGCTTGTCAAAAAAGAAAACTGCTGAGCTAGCTGGATCGAAAAAGTCAATAAAATTTGGCTCCCTGTATTCCTGCGATTGGTTGGAACAGAACCGGTGATCTGGTTTAAGATTTCTTGCTTCGCTAATAAATCAAAACTGGGTCTCTGTGCAAGATCAGGGAAGGGCCTTAGCTCAGAACACCTTGGTATGCGGAAGATCCCGGATTCAGGTCCATCTATGGTTGGGAGAGGGACGCGGGTGGCGCTGTGGGTAAAAGCCTCAGCGCCTAGGGCTTGCCGATCGAAAGGTCGGCGGTTCGAATCCCCGCGGCGGGGTGCGCTCCCGTTGCTCGGTCCCAGCGCCTGCCAACCTAGCAGTTCGAAAGCAACCCCGGGTGCAAGTAGATAAATAGGGACCGCTTACTAGCGGGAAGGTAAACGGTGTTTCCGTGTGCGGCTCTGGCTCGTCAGAGCAGCGATGTCACGCTGGCCACGTGACCCGGAAGTGTCTCCGGACAGCGCTGGCCCCCGGCCTCTTGAGTGAGATGGGCGCACAACCCTAGAGTCTGTCAAGACTGGCCCGTACGGGCAGGGGTACCTTTACCTTTTTATGGTTGGGAGAGATTTCCTGTCTGAAACCCTGGAGAGAGTATCTGCCAGTCAGTGCAGGCAATCCTGAGCTAGATGGGCCCCAATGTCTGACTCGGTATAAGGCAACTTTCTATGTATTTCTGTTTAGATCGTTCGGAATCTTGAGGACTAGAGTCTTGACTTTAGGAGCCTCGAAGACCGCAACTCGGCAGCAGACCCACCAAAGATTCTTAAGATAGTGCAGGCATATACGGGTTTGCTGCACCCCTTCTTTTTTTTAACCCTTACACACAAAAAATCTGGCTTCCAGATCTCTGCCTCCAGAGTGTCAGGAGGAAACAGGACCGACGAACTCCTGAACCTCTCCCGCGTGGCAGAATTTGAACTCTGCAACCTCTCCTGGCGGAGGAAGCGTCACAAGCCGCCGTGCCGCAAAGCCACTTCTAATTAAAAGAGCTCGTTGCTTCGAACTTCCCACTTTTGGTCCTCAGTGGGGAATGAGGAGGAGCTGCGTGTGTTTATGGATCAGGGCCTCCTCCTTTGTGGGGTTGCCTGCTAGCCTGTTTCATCAGCACGGCGCCCAGACGCTTTGCGACGTTTGAGAAATTGCAGGACTGGTTTGCCTTCCTTGTTATCTCTGGTCCACGTGCCCTTTCACAACTCCTGAAATGATAAAAGCACAGTTTGAAATCAAAAGATTAAAAAGCGTCGTGTTGTTGCTTTTTAAAAAAACCAAGGATGGTAAAAGTTAAGGACATTTAGAGAAACACTAATTTGGTGAAGGAAAAGATGTGTCTCTCTCCGTGTGTGTCTTAATTGTCTTGTTTTTTTTAAAGTAAATAAATATAGTTTTGACTTTTTTATTATTATTATCATCAATATCATCATCACCATCATCCTGCCTTTCCCCCAAGGTGACTTGCAGAACTTAAAAGGACATAGATAAAATGCAAAAAGCTAAAAACACATAAAAGGCAATTGTTAAAAAGTAACCCTAATGGAATTAAAACAATATTTTTAAAAATCTACTAAAAGGCAGATAATAGACACAGCACTTGCCTCCAGAAGATTTTGTTGTCGAACAGTTGCAGGCTGCTTTTAATAATTGATTTTGTATGTTTAAGGTAAAGGTAAAGGGACCCCTGACCATTAGGTCCAGTCATGGCCGACTCTGGGGTTCTGGCCCTCATCTCGCTTTATTGGCCGAGGGAGCCGGCGTACAGCTTCTGGGTCATGTGGCCAGCATGACTAAGCCGCTTCTGGCGAACCAGAGCAGCACACGGAAATGCCGTTTACCTTCCCGCTGGAGCGGTACCTATTTATCTACTTGCACTTTGATGTGCTTTCGAACTGCTAGGTTGGCAGGAAAAGGGACCGAGCAACGGGAGCTCACCCCATTGCGGGGATTTGAACCGCCGACCTTCTGATCGGCAAGTCCTAGGCTTTGTGGTTCAACCCACAGCACCACCTGCATCCCTTTTGTATGTTTATAGACTGCTTAAAAGGGATGCGGGTGGCGCTGTGGGTAAAAGCCTCAGCGCCTAGGGCTTGCCGATCGAAAGGTCGGCGGTTCGAATCCCCGCGGCGGGGTGCGCTCCCGCTGGTCGGTCCCAGCGCCTGCCAACCTAGCAGTTCGAAAGCACCCCTGGGTGCAAGTAGATAAATAGGGACCGCTTACTGGCGGGAAGGTAAACGGCGTTTCCGTGTGCTGCGCTGGCTCGCCAGATGCAGCTTTGTCACGCTGGCCACGTGACCCAGAAGTGTCTCCGGACAGCGCTGGCCCCCGGCCTCTTAAGTGAGATGGGCGCACAACCCTAGAGTCTGTCAAGACTGGCCCGTACGGGCAGGGGTACCTTACCTTACCTTTACCTAGACTGCTTAAAAGTGTCCCTAAGCAGTTTGTAAAAAGGTTAACAAGTACGTCAATGCAAACAAACCATGAAACTCAAAAATTGCCATACCTGATGAGCCAAAAACTTAACAGCATACTTTTAACTCCACTCTTAAGATTCTTAGGGGGTGGGGGACTGGAAGTTGGGGGTGGGGGACTGCCTTGACTATATGTTAAATGCAGAAATGCTGGTTTATAAAATGTGAGTGGTATTTAACTAGGTTTTACTCAGAGAGTACGCCTTTTGAAATGAAAGGACCTAACTTAGTCGTGTCCATTTATTTCAATAGAGTAAAACTTAGTTGAGCACCACCTAGTATAAACAAGGCAAGAATGAAGCAATGCCAATAATTTTCCCATAGAACAGCAGTGGAAAGAATGATGCCCATTTTACAGGTGGTGAGCTGAGACTGAGGACCAGCAAAACCTGCCCAGGGACTCTGGGCACCCTACTGCCGGGGTGGACAACCTGCTAGCCTAAGGCTCCCATCATCCCTTGCTGGCTGGAGCTGATGGGAATCCAAAGTAAACCAAATTAGCTAGTCCTGCCATGAAAGTTTGTTTTGGAATGGGGTGAGGTCTGTGCTGAAGACGGGGTTGTCTCTAGAATAAGCTATCCCTTTCCGTAAAATGCTTTTTACAGTCGCCCAGTTTATACATTTTAAGAAATAAATACAGTGGTATCTCGGGTTACAGACACTTCAGGTTACAGATGCTTCAGGTTACAGACTCTGCTAACCCATAAATAGTACCTCTGGTTAAGAACTTGGCTTCAGGATGAGAACAGAAATCGTGCGGCGGCAGCAGGAGGCCCCATTAGCTAAAGTGGTACCTCAGGTTAAGAACATTTGCAAGTTAAGAACGGACCTCCAGAACGAATTAAGTTCTTAACCCAAGGTACCACTGTATGGGCAACTGAAATTTGAACCTAGCCAAAATGTGGGTGCTATCCCTCTCCCTGAGCACAGGAACACACTCCAAGGGATGCTACGGGCATTCTTTGTGTGCTGATTGGCTCCTTCCCTGTTGCCATGGCGGCAGATACGCAACCTCCCATCTACATGCTCTGCAGATGGACCAATTTGGAGTGAGAATCCGAGCTACAGAGCTGGGTCCGTCCAGAGGCTGGCGATGCTGCTTTTGCTGAGTTCTGAGCTGTGGCTTCTTGGATACGTCAGTAGCGCAAGTTTACGGCTGGGAAGCGGTAAAGATCTCTCAGGCTGCTATACCTGCAGTCTCAACTTTTGGGTCTTCTCAAGAATATTGGGAAATCCCTGCAGGATCAGGCCAAAGGCCTGTTTTAGTCCTCTCGCTTGGACTACTGCAATGCAGGGCTACTTTTGAAGGTGACCCGGAAACTGTAATTAATCCAGAATGCGGCAGCTAGACTGGTGACTGGGAGCGGCCGCCGAGACCATATAACACCGGTCTTGAAAGACCTACACTGGCTCCCAGTGCATTTCCGGGCACAATTCAAAGTGTTGGTGCTGACCTTTAAAGCCCTAAACGGCCTCAGTCCAGTACACCTGAAGGAGCGTCTCCACCCCCATCATCCAGCCCGGACACTGAGGTCCAGCGCCGAGGGCCTTCTGGTGGTTCCCTTGCTACAAGAAGCCAAGTTACAGGCAACCAGGCAGAGGGCCTTCCCAGTAGTGGCACCCTCCCTGTGGAACGCCCTCCCACCAGATGTCAAAGAGAAAAACAACTACCAAACTTTTAGAAGACATCTGAAGGCAGCCCTGTTTAGGGAAGCTTTTAGTATTTAATAGGTTATTGTATTTTAGTGTTCTGTTGGAAGCCACCCAGAGTGGCTGGGGAAACCCAGCCAGATGGATGGGGTATTATTATTATTATTATTATTATTATTATTATTATTATTATTATTTAATAATAATAATAATACCATGTGAGAACAGAATACAGGAATAGATGGACCACTGACATAAGAGAATTAAGAAGAGTGCTGGATCAGGCCAATGGCCCATCTAGTCTAGTATCCTGCTCTCACAGTCACCACCCATAAGCAAGATTTGAGCTCCAGAGCCCCATCCCTTCCTGTAGTTTCTGGCAACTGGGAGAGTCAGAAACACGTCGAAGCAGAGCATAGCGATCGTGGCTCATAGCCATCAGTAGCCTTCTCCTCCAGGAATCTGTCCAGTTGTCAGGGACTGGCTGGATGAGGAAGAGTAGTGGGAGCCCCCTGCCCAAGAGCCCCCCAAGGAGGGCACAGAAGACGGCAACTTAGATCCCAGTTCCTGGTGGTGGGTGTGATAGAAATTTTGAAGTCTTAAGGTAAAGGTAAAGGGACCCATGACCATTAGGTCCAGTCGTGACCGACTCTGGCGTTGCGGCGCTCATCTCGCTTTATTGGCCGAGGGAGCCGGCGTACAGCTTCCAGGTCATGTGGCCAGCAGGACTAAACCGCTTCTGGCGAACCAGAGCAGCGCACGGAAACACCGTTTACCTTCCCGCCAGAGCGGTACCTATTTATCTACTTGCACTTTGACGTGCTTTCGAACTGCTAGGTTGGCAGGAGCAGGGACCGAGCAACAGGAGCTCACCCCCTAGCGGGGATTCGAACCGCTGACCTTCTGATCAGCAAGTCCTAGGTTCTGTGGTTTAACCCACAGCGCCACCCGCGTCCTTTGGATATATGTGACCTGGAACCATTTTTGATTCCCAAACTGACCAAATGTTTTCTCTGCAAGGTCAAAGGAAAATGGAAAAGCCTCCCCATTGTCTTTTCCTTCACAAATCCTGTCTTAAGGGCACATTTAAGATATGAATAGGGTGTGAGCCTGTGACCTGGCCCAGGAACTTAGTATTTATCATTACAAAAGACTGGCCAGGCTCCCCAGGCAATCCAATCAAGTGACCATTAAACAGGTAACCTGGCAGACAGGAGGTAAACAAAGCACTCAGATTTCTGCTGTAGACCGCCCTTTCTGTGATGTAGGTATGATGTATCTGGGGAGTGGTCTTGAGCTACACTCCTTCTGTGATGTATGTATGATGTATCTGGGGGTGGTCTTGGACTCCAGGGCGGGCAATTTAAAATGTCTATATAAAGACAGGCACACCTTGGTTCTGGGTTCCTCCTCCTTTCCTGCATGTGAGGGGAGCACCCTGTTGCAACAGATCAATAAAGATCAGGCTTCCTAGCTGCTTTGCTTCTCAATAGTCTCTGGTTGGCCTCTGTTATTTTCTCCTGCCAATAGGGAACCTATGTAAGGACTTTGTATGGGCTCTTGGATACCCCATAAGTGGGAAAAGGGCAAATTTATTTGTTTACAACATGGGACATGGAAGAGCAGTCTGGAGAAGGGATGAGCTGGGAGGCGCTAGAAGCGGGGGTGTGTGTGTGTTGAGTGATCATGGTTGGTGGGGGGTCAGGAGAAGGAGGGCCTTCCAGGGCAGGGTTCAAGGCTGAGAGTCACAGTGTGAGCACAGACTCAGACAGAGGGGAGTCAGAGCTTTCCTTTCTACCCAGCAGTAGGGCAGTCTCGGTCCTGCTGGCTCGCCTCCCCCTCTGACACCCCCGATCTAGGGGAGTCCTTCACATGGCTGAACAACTGGCCAGTCAGGTCCAGACACAGTCTTTGTCTGCTTGGGAAGGGATCCAGAGAGAGAGGCAAGAGAGGGGAGGGCAGAGCTTGTGGTCAGTTTCAGTACATCTTTTTTCTAAGAAAAAAATTACACTTTTCAGACTTACACATTTCATAAATTTTATAAACATTTTAACATTTCAAAGCCTGACTTCCTTCCCCCCTCTTTCTGTGGTTCCTTAAATTTATTTTTAATGTCTTCTTTATATCCAAATTCATTTAATTTGCTCATTTAATTTTCTCCTTTAAATATATACTCTTATGAAACTGCGGGTTATTACAATAAACCTGCCAATGTTCTTATCTGTAAATATTCAATAAACCATTTTCATTCTTTTATTAAAAGTTTGTTATCTTGATTTCTTATTTTTGGGGTTAGTTTCGCCATTTCTGCATAGTCCATAAGTTTTTGTATCCATTCTTCCTTTGCTTCTTTCCACTTTGGGGCAAGTAGCATTCTTGCTGCTGTAGTAGCATTCATAAATAAATTTCTATACAATTTAGGTAGTTCTGTCCCTATAATTCCCAAAAGAAAAGCTTATGGGCTTTTTTAAAAAAATAAAAGTTATTTTGAACATCCTTTTCCATTCATTGTATATAACATTTTATGTGTTTAATATGCCTATATGTTTTAGAGTTGGGTTTTTTTCTGGCTGAATGAATGAATGAAAGCCATCTAGGTTGGCTTCGTTTATTCTTATGTTCTCAGTTGTCCTCATCTTGCCCTCCACAGAGGCAGCCAACTTCCACTGGAACCCCTGGCAGCCATGGGTCTGCATGTGTGACTTACACAAGCAGGCCCGGATCCGGCACTTTGTCGTGTGGGCCATGAACATCACGCTGGACCTCAAGGCCTCCGAGTTTTGGCAAGAGAAGCCCTGCAACCTGGACGACTGCGTCACGTGCTCGGTGGTCGAATGTCCAGGCAGCGGCGAGCGGTCCGGCTTCGTCCCGCAGTTCCGGGGCCTCTCGTCCCCCAAGCCCCACGAGGTTGAGATTCCTCTCCCTGTCCATTTGGAATTCCCTTCCTATGACAGCCTCCCCGTCGTCGACGACACCGGACAAAACGGGCAGCCGTAAGACCCGGAGATGTTGACTTTAAGCAAAGGCGTCTTGTCACCTCGGACTCCCACTGAGTTGTCGGGCTCGCTTGCGGAGGGCAGCAGAGGCCTGGACCGCGGCAAGGAGCCGCCCGAAAGCCAACTCGCCTAGGGCAATCCTGGACAGAGATCCAGGCGAGCCCATTGCTACAGCCCCTCATGGGCTCTGTTGGAGTCTTTGGTTGTCAATAAAGTCAGACTGAAACAAAGTAGGGTGTGTTTTTAAAAAATAATAATTACAGTGACGCTTGGGTTGCGAACGTGATCCGTGCGGGATGCACGTTCGCAACCTGCGTCTGCGCACGCGCGGGTTGTGATTCAGCGCTTTTGTGCATGCGCAAAGCACAATTTAGCACTTCTGCGCATGTGCGACTGCCAAAACCCAGAAGTAACCCGTTCTGGTACTTCCGGGTTTCGACGGTCCATAACACGAAAAAACGCAAGCTGAAGCGTCTGTAACCCAAGGTATGACTGTACCGTAATTTTCTGTCTATAAGACGCCCCCATGTATAAGACTATTTTGGGGGACTCAATATGGGGGGAGATGGTACAGAGTTGTTGAGCTTCTTTTGGGGGGGTTCACCCAGGGTTGCTGAGCTTTTTTTAGGGGGCATTGCCGAAAATCGCTCACTAGCACGCATCGCAAAACCCACCTCCCGTGTGTCCCATCGCCGGCAGAAGCTGCCAGTCACCTGCCCAACTACCGGAGCGTCAGCCAATCAACACTGCCCATTGACACAGCAATCAATAACACACTCAATAGCCTCTGACAGCCACAGCAGCAACCAATCAAACATCCACCCTAAGCACTACCCATGTATAAGACAACCCCCACTTTTAATGCATGATTTTTAAAGAAAAAGCATGGAAAAGTACGGTATTTGTTTACATTTCGAACCACCTTTGTCCTTGGGGTGAGTCACCTCCTAAACCACAGATCGCTTAGAAATTAGGGGTTGTGTTCAGGCCAGCCCTCCTCAGAATAGACCTGTTGATGTTAATGGACATGACTTACTTCCATTCATTTCAGAGGGTCTACTCTTGAGTAAATCTTAGTTGGGTACAACCACCCTAGGGCTGCAAGCAGTTCATTGGGGGTGGGACAAAGGGCCACATATTCACCAGGGGCAGAACTGAGAGGTATCACCCCATATTCTCACGTGCACACACACCATGGCCCCTCTTGGCTTTTCCATGCCAATTATCTGTGGAAAAGGGTATTATCCAATGCCTGCCCTACCCAGGGCAGACCCATTGAAATTCCTGTGCATGTCTAACCTAGGTAAAGGTAAAGGGACCCCTGACCATTAGGTCCAGTCGTGGCTGACTCTGGGGTAGTGGCGCTCATCTCGCTTTATTGGCCAAGGGAGCCAGCGTACAGCTTCCGAGTCATGTGGCCAGCATGACTAAGCCGCTTCTGGTGAACCAGAGCAGCGCACGGAAATGCCATTGACCTTCCCGCCGGAGCGGTACCTACGGTACAGTGGTGCCTCGCAAGACGAAAATAATCCATTCCGCGAGTCTCTTAGTCTAGCAGTTTTTTCGTCTTGCGAAGCAACCCTATTAGCAACTTAGCGGATTAGCGCTATTAGCGGCTTAGCGGCTATGAAAGGCTTAGCGGCTTAGCGGCTAAAAGGCTATTAGCGGCTTAGCGGCTTAGAAAAAGGGGGGGAGCGGGGAAAAAATCGCAAGACTCGCAAGACGTTTTCGTCTTGCGAAGCAAGCCCATAGGGAAAATCGTCTTGCGAAGCAACTCAAAAACGGAAAACCCTTTCGTCTAGCGGGTTTTCCGTCTTGCGAGGCATTCGTCTTGCGGGGCACCACTGTATTTATCTACTTGCACTTTGACGTGCTTTCGAACTGCTAGGTTGGCAGGAGCAGGGACCGAGCAACAGGAGCTCACCCCGTTGCGGGGATTCGAACCGTCGACCTTCTGAGTCCTAGGCTCTGTGGTTTAGACCACAGCTCCACCCGTGTTTCTATGTCTAACCTAGGTCTGTCAATTTTGGTGCATCTACTCCCGAGTAGGATTTAGCTAGCTACAACCTTTGGAAGGCTGGGTGGGACGTTTGCCACCCTAGGGTTAGATGCGTCAATTAAAAGTCTTTTTTAATTGACTAAAAATTGACCACCCACAATCTCTCTGGGAACTCCTTTTTTCAAAAATAAAAAGAAATCTTACTTTATTTTAATAGATGTACTTATTTAAACCACCAGAGGGCAACCATGAGTTTAAAAGAAGCAAATGCCACCACACTGATACAGATGCTGCCTCTGATTTTTCATATATATATTTTAAAATACTTCTGAAAACACCATCAAGGCTGTTTCTCCCTCTTTCTTGTGTAGGTGGGCCTGGGGTTTTTTTTTTTTGGGGGGGGGGTTGAATATTTATAAGAATATTTATAGATCACACACACACACACACACAAAAGTAAAGTAATTAAAATGTAACAACCAGGTTGTGTTTCGGCGCTGACTGCCAAAGATGGTAATTAACAGGCAGAACTGAGGCCATTGATAAATCCCAAGTGCCGGACTTCCGGGTTGGCGCCATCGCCGAATGGCGGACTCCCTCCGAGCTCCGGAGGGAGCCTGCTCGGCAGGGGCTGGGTCTTACCGCGCTGGCGACGCGGGGACCCTTAAAACCCACGGCCACGGAGGCCGTGGACATGGAGACTCGGCTGGCACCGCTAGCGCCCTCCCGACTCGTGAAGGAGCCTTTTTAAAGGCTACGGATCGGGTGCCGGGGAGAGGCGCGGTGCTTTGAGTCCTCTGCTAGCCCTGCCGAGCGAAGCCGCATGCCATCCGGCGGAGAGCGCTGACTTCTTCCATTGAGAATTCGGACTTTTAACAACAACCCGTGAGTAATTTGGAAAACCGGGTTTAAAAGGAGAAAAAAAGGAATTTTTTTTGGATTTGGTACGAGCGGGGGGGGGGGATCCAAAAAGGAAGTCAGTCCCCCTCCCTACTGTAAACATTCTAAAACAAGGACCGGGCAACCAAGGTCACGAAAGAACTGTATTTTTGATAAAAACCAAGAATTCCACGATGGGAAACTACAAGAAACTGTGCTGGAGGAGAAGAGTGGAGGGAGAAGGAAAGCGTAACCCCCCCCCCTGGGAACCGGGGCGATTGGAGAGAGAGCCTGGTGAAAAGAGACGGAGACTTTGACAGCTGTCAAAGTAGCTGTCAAAGCCGGAAAAATTTAAAGAGGACTCTGTTTTGAGGACTTTGCTGGTTAAATTTGTTACAATTTGCTAAGATTCGGATACAAAATGGCGAAAATATTGAACAACAACCAGACTTTTGGACTAGAGGAAACAAAGTTATAACAATCCCCCTAGAGAAGTTTCGGGACATTACAAAGATGGTCGTAAGTGGAAAAATACCTTCGGAATTTTACAGGACTGGTTATCTTCTGGGAAAGCTGCAAAACTGAAATAGTATTATGTCTACAGGGGTGTTTACATTAAAGGAGACAATAGAATTCTCTATTGAAGAAAGGAAGGGACTGAACGCAAGTTTTTGTTCCTGAATAACAAAATCCCCTGTAGAGCTACTAAATTTCTGAATTAGAACGTCTTAGCAGCGGAACAAGATGAAACTGGACTACAACATGGAAAGAACAATGGGAGGAGCTTTAAAGACCAAAGATTGGAGATTTGAAGTTAAATACTATAAAAATAACTTTAAACTTAAAAAAAAAAAAAAAAGACTGGCAAGGGACTGGGGGAAAAATCTGATTATGGATTTAAGAATTCCAGGCAGACAACATAGATTGGTGGAGAGGGGGAACTCAAACCGGGGAAGGGGGGGGGAGAACTAGAATCCAAAGGCTTGCAACTACGTTTTGAATTCTTTTTTCTATATACTTTTTATCTTTTTATATCTTTATATTGTTTTTCTTTATATATTTTGCTGGGTGTTTTTATTTAAAAAAAAAAGGGAATTCGTGGAAGGAAATTGGGGGGGGACCTTGGGGAGAGAATTTTTGTTTTTTATTAAGGGTAATGATGAGGACTGTATAAGCTTAAATTCGAATATTGGGCTAAACAAATTAAGTTTAAATTAGGAGGGAGAGCTTGTTGAGCTAACGATATGAAAGGGGAATATGGCAGGGATGGGGGAGGGGGGGAGTCCCAGAAAGTGGATAATGAAAATAAGGTTTTAAATGCATTCTGTTTTTGTCTTATCTTTACTTTCTGTTTGCTGAAAATTTCAATAAATATGATTTAAAAAAAAAAAAGATAAATCCCAAGTGCCATTTTATATTGAATGAAATATTTGTTCCTTCTACACTCTGGTGCAATTGTACTGAACACGAACAGCCCACAGGCTTTTATTGATTTATTGAACAAATTCCTAAATTATAAATGTCTCAAGGCAGCACACAGCAGTCTATAGTCCATGTGGGGAATGCTGCCTTAACCATGTGAGTTCAGGACAGCTGCGTGGGAGTGTAGAAGCAACTCCTTTTTTGATTGGAAAGCTTTGAGAAGCATTTTGAGGAACAGGGAATGTGTGGGATGCCGCTGACCGAACTAGTAACTGATGATGCCACCAAAGCATCACCCTGGCAATGGATGAATCAGAGATTTCTGTCTTTCTTTTTTTTTTTTAATTAAATTTTTATTGAAGTTTTAACAAACACCATAACAAAAAAGAAAAAAAAAGAAAAAAGGCATAACATACAAATACAAAAGATAAAACACGTATAACCTCAATTTTTACTTTCTTTAAGCTTACTTTCACGACTTCCTCATACCTTCCCTTTCTGTATTCTAATTTCAGATTCAATTTTCAGCAAATCCTTTCCCTACTTTTACAATAATTTTAGTAACAGATATTTTCTTCCAATTATCCCTTAGTGCTTTTAACCCCTTAATAACCAATCCAACATTTTTCTAACCTTCATTAATTTTACAATATTTTTTTAGATACTCTTTAAACTTCTTCCAATCTTCCTGCGCCGTATCTCTTCCCTGGTCACGGATTCTGCTCGTCATTTCTGCCAGTCCCATATAGTCTATCACCTTCAGTTGCCATTCTTCCACGGTGGGTAGTTCTTGCATCTTCCAGTACTTTGCGATGAGTATTCTTGCTGCTGTTGTAGCATACATAAAGAATGTTCTGTCTTTCTTTAGCACCGATTGGCCGACAATGCCCAGGAGAAAGGCCTCTGGTTTCTTAGGGAAAGTGTACCTGA